TTAGTCTTTAAAAAGTTAGATGATTTCCAGCGTAATTAGACAGTTTTTGATATCGTCATTAAACCACATCGCCTGATGAAAACAAAACGCGAGAAACCATAATTGCTAATTGGGTATAGAGGTCAATGAGGTGAGCTTCAAGTACTAAACAGTGCACCCCCTGACAAGTCGGTGCCCTAGGAAAAAAATTCAGTTGTTTAGGGTCAGCAGCAGAGCACAAACCGTCGAACTAGAGATTTTTCAAATAGACGGGAACACACAATAATACATTATGTTTCATTATACAAATAGTAGAATATATGTGTTAAAAAATTAATAACTTAAAAAATAAAAAAATTTATCATTTATATAAAAACACGTGATGTACCATTAGTGTTCGGATCACCATGAAAAATTTCTCTTGCCGAACCCAAGGCCATGATGTGTCATGCAAGCGCGACCAACCATGAGGCTAGGGAGAGGGTCGGTGAAAAAAAAAATTCAGTGTATATCAAGTGTTATAATATAAGTGTTTGAATATTTAACAAAAAGAAACTCAATGACATGTAGTATGACACTTGATGTACCAGACTGTATTTTCAGTACATTGATACTCTAACTTTAGATCTAGTCTCCACAAGTGACCCTCTATCACAATAGTGGAGAGGAATAGTATGCTCTTGTATCACGATGTGAGTGCGAATTCTGTCGTCTCTCTAATATAACAAATTTATCATATAACAAAAAAAAATAAAAAATAAAAAACTTAAATCTAGTCCTGCGGACTTTGGTCAAACAAATTTAATGGAGTTTAGCCTTATAGGCTTTGGAATTGTTACAAATTTTTGGGGCATCAGCAAATGAATTGCCCTAAATAATGGAATAGAATTCTCTTTTCTTGCATTACGCTCACATTTTTCTTTTTGTTTTATTTTTTATACAAAAAATTTAAAATAAGACGTAAACATGACATAGTCGTAACCGTTTAAATAAGAATAAATGGAAAGGAAAAGAAATTAGAAAGGAAAAAAATCCTACTCCCTAAATAATACAATGGGACCTTTTATTTGTCCGAAAATAATTGAGGACTGTGCGCGCCTAAACCATAAAGTTTTGATCCTCTTCCGGTCTTCACCCAACATTTCAGTGTAGCACATTCATAGGGTGGACAGCATCATGATCTAAAAAAATGGAGCTCATTATTACCTTCTTTGTTTTTCAGAAAAATTTATGGGACTGCCGCAATTGAGGGCTTCTTCCAAGATATGATAAACTAAAATATTAAAAAGTTCTCCATAATCCGTGATGAACTTTGATCAGGAAATCTGGAAACTCTGAAATCTCTGCCTTCAGAGGCATCATGCGAGGAAAAGCACCCGTAGCCCTCTGTTTTGAAGAAAACTTGTATTCGACAGGACGTCAGGATATCTGTATCTTCACCATTATGGCGCGCGGGCAAGTTAAAACACGTAACGTCTAGTAGTAGCTTAATATACCGCAATTTTAAACTAATCGTAAGTTTCTCATCCCGCTTTGGTCCTTTTAACAGCTTTTGCAATGTCTCAACAGCAACTTAACTACAAGGGTGATCTCTGAGTTCGCACGCTCCTCCTCCTCTCTCTCTCTCTCTCTACCCTGTTCACTTTATCTGCACAGCACTCTGGCTTCACCAAAGGCTCCTTATCTGAACCCATTTTTAATACCAGAGAAAATAAAAACCAAAAAATAAAAAATTGATAGGGCGGCTTTTTGTTTTTGAGAAAATAAATTATAAAACAACACTTTGAGGCACACCTTTTGTTAGAGTGTGTAAGGTTCCTGCCCCCGTCGGAGTGTGATCAGACGCACAAGTACAAATCATTACTGCAAATCATGTTTCAAGAATATGAACACCAAAAAAGTTTAATGCATAATTAATTATAAATAACAATATTTTATAGATTTCTTCGTTCTTTGTTCTTTTGAATGCCGCCATCTTTATGTGAATTTTCTACACAACAAGATGAAAAGTATATTTCAGTTATAGAGCATGTGACATTTTTTGTGTACCAGACAAGCTTGACAGAATGGTTAACAGAGTATCGAACATAAAAAGCAGAGAGCATAAATCAAAGGAGTAGTTGGTGAATATATAAAATATATGAAAGGCAGTTAGAATTTGATCCTTTCTTTCTTTTTCTTTGGTTTGTTTCTGAGACAAATTAGCCAACCTAAGTTTTCAATCGAGTGTCTCAACAAGTCAAAACCTCGTCAAGCACACTGGTTGGTAGCTATTTCAATGACCCATATCGCATTATTTAGGATTTTGGAAATGGTTTGGTAATACATATGAATCAAACACAATCATGGTTCAGTCTTCAAAAATGAATTTTTTGGACGTGATCTTTTGATGATGAGATAAATAGAAATGCCAGGAGACTCTCTTAAAATAGAATTTTTCATAGATTTTTTGTCACCTCACAATTTAACATTAATTTTCATGTCATCATTATAAAACATGAGAAATACTAAAGAGTCTTGATAGGATTTTTACCGTTTGCACAAATAAAAATAAAAATACTTAAAAATACTTATAAGAAAACAAGGTAATTGTAGTACAAACGGTTTAAGCAATATCTTTTTCACATGGATTGAATGAAAAATTTGTATTTAAAACCAACTCTTAATCAATTATTTAAAACAAAGTTCGAAAAATGTTGATTTTAGAATTTAAAATAATAAAAACGAATTTAATAAAAAAAAATCAATTTAAAGAAAATCAATTCAAAGAGACACTATTTGTAAAAGCACTAGGGTTCCGCCATCATCTTAACAATCTTACGTAGTTCTTCCAATTACTTATGAATTACCCATGCATATTTTGAAGGTTAGATTTTCGTAATATATATCTAACATACAACCTGTTCGGACGTCAGATCAAATATAAACATGAAAAACTCATTGAGTTTTATGAAAAACCCTTTAAAAAACAATGCAACCCTTAAGACATGGTGTTCATTCTAAGTGAAATACAATTATTAACCATAAGAAACCAGCGCCAATTTTAGGAACTTTTCTAAATATCCTAATGGTCGCGAATCACTTAGATACTTAGATAGTTTAAAACTGTAAATTGAAAAGAAACTACATATTCTTGCTAAGGTATCTCTCTAGCAAAAGAAATTAGTTACGAACAATCATAAAACATAATATTATTAAGAACATGGAAAGAAAACACCTTAAAAATAAACTTCAAAAGCTCTCTAAAGTAGTGCACGTGTTCTCCTCCTTTTTTTCTAAAACCCTAATGGCTAAACAGCCTTATTTATACTACTACAAAATAAAACCCTACCTAGAAAATGTCTTAGAATAAAGTTAGGAAACATAATAAAATATTAAAATAGCAAATAAAAGGTTTCCAATTTGAACTGAAATTTGGACTTCTCAGAAAATCAGACTTTTGACTGACCAAATCAACTCCGATTTGGTCCTAAAATGTCTCTTTTGAAAGCTTAACTCATCCCCTACAAATCTTCAAAATGAATCTTCCTCAAAATAGCTATCTTGACCTCCAAAATACCCAAAATGTCCAGAAACATCAATCTGTAAAAGATGCACGCTGAGCCTTTATTTCATTGCCACGGTCAAACGGCTCAATAGAAAAATCTGAAACTTTGATACAATCATCTTGAAAGACTCATGAACATCCTCCAATTGGAATTGCTCCAAAATTCGTTCGTTTGATTACTTTATGCTCAAGAGGAAGTCGAATCTCTTACATTAGAAATAAAATTCAAAGTATCAAAATTCACCAAAATAAACAATAAATTATAACTAAGAATAGGGTCAAATACATAATATAAAATCGATTCATTAAGTCTCTCTCAGAGCGGACTCTGCATGGACTCTCCGCCACCTCATCTTTTTTGCACAATGTTGTATAATGTTGGCACGGAAATTGTGCCAAAAATACGAGGTGATGGAGAGTCTCACTTTTAAGAGAATCTCCTTACCATTTCTCATAAAATATTGTGGTAAAAACATAAGTGGTAGCGAGAATCACTTTTAAGAGTGTTCATTAGCATTTCTCATGATGATAAAAGGAATGAACATTTCCAATGAAAAATAAAGTTCATATTGTAAAAGTTAACCAAACTCATTCTTCATTCGATATCTGACAATTAATAACAATTTTATTGTGATTCACTTATAGGAGTACATTTTTTTGTTTCATGCGCACTCTAATTCCTTCATAACCCTGTTAATTGCTCAGTCCAATTTATTCTTATTTCAATTCCATGTACGTAAATCTAACAAGGATAATAAGACAATCTTTGAACCTCATTGTCACATTAGAAAAGAAACGCCACTACACCAAACTCTTATTGGAATTTAAATCTGTGCTGGCTCGAAGCCTCGAGCACTCAAACGACAAGACAACACAACTTAGCAAGGGTAATGTCGTTTTTGTTGTTTCTATATAGGAGGCAGATTGTCTGCCCTCCTAATATGGAGCCCTTCTCATGCCTTTCTATTTTGTGCGGTCACAGTTAAGCCACGTCAACATTTTATATTTATTTTTTTATAGAGATAATAAGATAAAAAACAATAGAAATATAAAATATTGACATGGCTTAACCGTGACCACACGAATAGGAGGGCATGGAGAGGGCACCATAACTGGAGGGCAGACAATCTGCCTCCTTCTATATATCCTAGTGCATGAAATTAAATTGGGTCCCATGCACGTTGGATTTTAAACATTATTATACAAGTAGAAATAGAGATACTTAACGGAAACCATGTGGTTCACTGAATATGAGGTGAGGATAAGTATTAACAAATGTGTGCAAACTTTGCTATATATCCAACATCACCCAATCATTGTTCAATTTGTATGATCTCTCCACCATGTATTTAATTAGCTAGCTACGTACGTGTTTTTGGTTCCAAAAAGTTTTATTTTTTTCTCAAAAGTATGTTATCATATGAGTTCAAATCTCATGAATGATATTGTTGATTGATAAATAAAATATGGAAAATATGCTATATAGACCATTTTTTTTTTATCATGTTTTGTAAACCACATGATATGATGGTTGATGATTGAATTCCTTATATTTAACCATCAACCGTCATATCATGTGGGCTAAAAAATATGATTCAAGTAATGAAATAGCACACTTCTTCTTAGTTTCCTACATCTGTTAAGCTGGTTGTTGAGTCAGTCGTTAACTGGTAACGTGGCACCTATATAAACAATGATTGGGTGCCACGTGTCATTAAGGGCTCACATGGAAATTAAAAAAAATTAAAAAATGAACAAATATGCGGCCGTTTCTGGGGACGAGGGTGAATGCCATATACAGTGCATCACCTCTTCCTTTCCTCTCGTTTGCAGCATCTCCCCCTGCGTTAACCAGCTCACACACACGTCCCAATAAAACCTGATCGCAAACTTCCTTCAAAACCCACTCGCAACTCACAGTTCTCTTCCTGTCTACAACATCTCTCTCGCCGTCGTTCGCTGTTCATGTGAAATTGGGTACTAGGCAGAATATCCTGCAAATAAAAATTTAACTTTACACATTAGACTAGTCAAATGAGTTAGTCAACTAGTTATAAGTTAGTTAGTGATATAAAGTGCAGTTGCAAGAACAAATCCTAATTGACCAATATGTTCAACTATTCAGAGTTTGCCCAGATTAGTTACAACAATAATTCCTAAATTTGAACATGTTTACATATCGATTAATTATGCAAATAGCAATGACAAAGCAATTGTGAATTAAATTATGCTGGATTGACTAGTCAAGCTCACAAATCAACTAAGTACAGATTTGTCAGTTAATTAAATGCAAACCTACAAATCAAACTTGGTTCACTACAAGTTATCATAGTCAACAACAATTCGGTTCATTGCTTATAATATGTAGTGTAGTCTCTAGCACATATCAAATAACAATTCATAGGATGCATGAAGCATGTGCAAGTAAATAAAATATGTGGACAAGTTTAAGAGACAAAGAATGCAAGACATCTTTGGCCGGAGAAACCCACCTCTGGGTTAAAAATTGGGGGACTTACCACTTGGTCCAATCCATAAGTGTAAACAAGATTCTTACACAGCACCACACAAAGCTCAATTCCTAGACCTAGTCTATAAAGTAGTTTTACCTTTGTGCAACATTGCCTTACACGAGACAGATTCCTTCAGTCTTCATGAAGTGGCAGCTTCTCCTGAGCTCTTCACCTTATGGCACTGAAAAAGGTGTTGTCTCTAGTCTTCACAAGATGACAACTCCTCCTGAACTCTTCACCTTATGACACTGAGACCACCACCCACAACTGCACATGATATGGAAATGATGATAGTGTGCAATCTAGATTCAATGACTAGTCAATTTCTTCTGTCAAACAGTTGAAAGAAGAAATTGACAAGAATCCGAAAATGGGGTCAGTTTAAATATTTGAAACTTGAAGAACTTGACCACCAAATTAAAACAAAACCATGAAGACAATCTAATATGCAGTAATTGGGTGTTTGATGCATGAACATGGTTTTGTGGCTAGGGTTTCAATGAAGAACACAATAGGTAGCTCAAAACTAAATCAACTCTTTTCTAAAAATGTAAAACTCATAACCAAAACAAATGAGCATATAAAACGAATTTAAGCAAGCAACTTCAAAGATAGATGTAGAAATATTTGATGAAGAACATTACCCATAAAATATGCTTAATACTCCTATGGTGCGTTTGTTGCATCGGACTATCTCAGACTGGACTAACTTCAGGGACTAAATTAGACTGGCTTAGACTAGACTAAGCTGGAATAATTTAGTGAAGTGTTTGGTGCAGCGTCGGACTAAGAAGCAGGACTACAATATTATATTATTTTTATATTAAATTAATATATATAATTAATATTTTACTATTACTTTATCTTTTTCCTTTTTTTTTTAGAATCCTATTCTTCTTACTTCTACAATCTCTGTAACCATTTTTCACCCTACCTCTCCATCCCGTCAAACCTCTCTTCATTCTCCCTCTACCTCTTTTCCCGTCAAACCCCACCTCCGCTTCTCATGAATCACAAAACATAAGGACCAAATTTTACAAGTTTCTCACAGATCACAAAATTCAAATACCAAATTTCATAAGTTTCTCAGCTTATTCCCCACCATCGACGAAAACCCCAATTGGTACTTAGGCATTTGGTATGCTTTCGGTCCCGACTTGCGTCTGGGTCGTGTACGAATGCGGAGATTGATGGCGAGCTTCTGGTGATGGTCGTCTGGTGATTGCAACCATGACGATTTTGCTGAGAAAGAGAGTGAATTGAACGAAGAAGAAAGGAAGGGAATCAGTGGATTGTTTTTCAGTTTTTGTTTGAGGTCTGGGTTTTGGTTTTTGGGTGGGATAATGAAGGCCCAAGGGAGTGGGCGAAGGTGCAAATCAGAAGGGAGAGGGGGAAGGAGAAGGGTGACGACGAGGGATCATCGGAGGGGGAGAGAACGGGACTAGCAGTCCACTTGAAATCGAGGGGTCTCCTTAAGAACGTTTAGCGAAACGTTCAGTCGAGCCGAGTCCTCTTTAATCCCATTAAACCTAATCCTTGTCCAGACCAAACAAGGAACTACAGTCTAGTCTAATCCAGTTCCCCCTAATCCGGTCAAACAAACGCCCCCTAGGAGATTTGAGATGAAGATGAAAAATAAAGCTTTCAAAAAATTTCCAATCTCAAACCCCCAAAAACCAAATGGACCCTAGATTGGTTTTTATAAAGAGGGTTGAGTTTCAGATAAGAAATGGGACAAGAAAAGCCACATGTCATGTGCAAAAGCAATCTGGAAAGATCTAGGGTTGAAAACGTATTTTTGGGAAAAAGCTGTCATATGGCCCATGTGGGCTATCTTAAAAGTGTGTGCCCAACTCATGTGAAAGCAGTGAGAAGTTTTGACATGATAGAACCACTAGACATAATGTATTGGAAATAATGGCATGAAATGCATATGAATGAATAAACTTTTGACGAGAGAAGTTAAGCTCTTGAGATGATATTTCCAGCAGCCATATCCCAAAGTAGCATTTTAACCATAAATCTAACTAGAGCATGATGGTACAATTTATAACATTTGACAAGGGAAGCCAAACAATAATCTAGACTTCACATCTTGTCTCCTCTTCCAATTTTGTCAAGACCTGCTGCACTGGCCTAAGAGTTGGCATGTTTGCCAACAAATTCCCCTGCGAATTCACCGCCACTTATTTCACCCCCTCCAACACCCAGAACTCCTGCTCCATCAACAACTCCAACGTCCTCACCGACTCCGTCGTCAAGATTCTTGAAACTTGGCTTAACACCCTTTTCAAATCCCCCTGCCCTGCCTCCGATTCCAAACTCTGACCGCCCGAAATCAAGTCCTTTCGCGACAACTCGATCCAAGAAATGCCCAAAAATAGGAATAAAATTTGTGGGGAACAAAATTTTGGGGATTAGGGTTGGGTGTAGGTTGATGTAGGGAGAGAGAAGGGAAATGAGGTGAAGATGGTAGAGGAGAGGGAGGAGATGGGTCGGGGAGGTGAAAAGGGAGGGGGAGGGATCATAAATCAGCATCAAGAAGATGAAGAGAAAAGTTTTTTTTTTTTAATTTTTAAATTTTAAATATCCACGTGGGCCCAAATTGACACGTGATGCTCAATCATTGTCAAGCACCGCGTCATCAGTTAACAAAGATTTTGACAGAAAACTTAACAGATGTATGAAAATGTCTCAGAATTATGACTTTATATACCAAACTAGGACAAAAAAAATTTCATGTACCAAATGTTGAAAATTACAAAAATTTAGAGTAGTAAATTGACAGTAACACTAAAATATGATAACAAACCATCCATCCATCCAAATGAGGATCCCTTCCGAATCCTCTTTGTGAGGATCCTAGGGATCCTCCAATCACGTCCGTTCATCGTACATCGTGCGACCAATTTTCATTAGGTATTGTTTATATTCAATTTTAAATAAAAAAAGTTTATAATGATTTCTGACTACAAGATATACAATAAACGGACGTAATTAAAGAATCTCTGAAATTCTCACAAAAATGATCCGGAAAGGATGCTCATTCCATCCATCCATCTAAAGTCTAAAGTGAAGTGGAGTAGCTAAGATAGATACGATGATGTGACCTCAAGTAGTTCACATGCCCCCACACTGTGTACCAACTTGTGTGATCAACTTAAAATATATATGGTTGTCAAGCTTAACGATAAGGGCAGGAATATATCCAAGTCACCCAACAGCAAATGTTGGCCCTCCATCCCCAAACCCTACCCTACACTTTCCCCAGCCCTACCCTATACATTTGTACACACTTTGCGTTCTCTCATCCTCTCTTTCTCATCTCTCGTCCCAACGATTCACATGGAACGAGTTCGTTACGAGTTTTACGTTATATGATATTACATTATTTGTTTGAAATATTCGTGTACTAGCAATCCGTTGTACGTAAATTGTTTTATTTTACGAGAGAGCAGCTCAGCAGCATGCGAAACAGAAGAGGGTGAATTGGACTGGGAGATGGGGAATCTGTTCAGAGGTATGACTGTCCATTAGCACGCTCTTTCTTTGATTCTCCATTTCCAGCCTTTTTTCTTCATTTTCCAATGGCACGTTCTTTTTAATTATTCACTTTCTTATCCCGCACAACTTTAACTTTGGGATATTTGTCAATCTTAAGAATTTAAAGAAAAATTTTGGGACATTTTTTCACTAAAGAGTAAAAAGGTGAATGATAAGAATAGTGAAAGTAAATTTTAGCAGTAAACCATCACTTGGAAAATGCAATTTCCATTCCATGGGTTTCATCAAATTAACCTATATATCCCATCCTGGAAATTTTTTTCAATATACCAGTAATATAGCTCGGCGCACAAATTGTAACAAAATAATTGGTTCAAAGTTTTTTTTTAAGCATCCAGTGTATTCCGATACACAAAAAATTTCTCCATTGACATTGTCTGAGTTAAATGGGCAAGAGTGAAGGAGTTGTCCAACAGTCAAGATTTAGTCAATTCAAATTTTGCTACAAAACCCTACGACATTATGAATACATGTCATTAATGTGGTTATTAGATCGTTAAAATGAAACAAAATCTCGTATTCTCTTCTTTTTTAATCATTGGAAAATGGAAGATTTAAATCATTTCAACATTAAAAAGAAAAATATATTAGCTGAGTCTACTAAACGAACTTATTTTGTTGGTCATGATTTGAGAAAGTTCTTGTCGAACCTAATCGATTTGGGCCCACCCTGTAGTCGCACATATGAATAGCATTAGTATGCACTCTACAAAGATAGGTGCAAAATATCGACGCTGGAATAATCTATCACTTTCTACGTCAATTTTGTATATTCTTAAAAATATGTAATTTTATCTTTCTAATTATCTATTGAACATAAATAAGACTTATTTTTTATCCATGCTCCTGAATTCCATTTCAATCTTACTTTACAAAAGCCTCGCATCGAAATCTACAAAGAAACGATCCAATTGATCAAGATGCACAACGAGGATCGCATCCATACAATTTTACACTTCTCGACAAATATAATCTGTTTCGGTATTCTAAGTGGTTATTCTATTCTAGGTAATGAATAACTTGTTATTCTTAACTCTTGGTTTCAAGAATTCCTATACAACTTAAGCGACACAATAAAAGCTTTTTCTATTCTTTTATTAACTGATTTATCCTCTAAAATTAAATTAAGCCACTTTCCCCCTAAAACTTAGTTTTTGCATCACTTTGCCACATTCTCCTGTTCCGTCACAACGTCTGTTATGTCCACTAACATGACATGATTAAGTCCCATCTATTTATAATTACAATTGACCACAGCAAGTAGCCTAACGTTAAGGGCGCAGACTTCAGATTCTCAAAAAGACAAAGAAAATATGGAAGGTTCTAGATTCGATGCTCCGAGATAGTAAGTTTGCTTGACTGTGGTCTGGAGGCAGGGTGGAATTCCTCAAAGCCTCTCCAAACCCAAAAATGGTAGATGACCGTAGTTTGCCATATTTATAATTACATTGCCATGTGTGCAAAAATAATATTAAAAAGTACTCTGATGTTTTGGGCCTAAAATACTTTTGTGAAGTGGTTTTATTTTGGGTTGTTTGATTGAGTTTAGTACAAGTAATTGTTTGTGTTCAAAACTGGGAAGAATGCTGGAGCCTGAGTTCTGTGCATGTCGGATGCTATCGCCCTTTCGCCGCGAAAGCGAGGATGAGGAACTTTCAATTCCACCCAGGCACTCCAAGGTCATTGTACTGGAAACAAGGAAACAATAAAACAAAGTCTGGTTTGGTGGCTCTTTACGATCCTATGAAACTTTGGTTTCTTGATTCAAATTTTCAAATGGGTTTAACAGAGAACGAATTTTTCTGGAAGTTGTTAGAAAGAAGTTTGATTTCGGTGAGTGGGTGGGTCGTTTGGATCATGGCAAGTTTAGGTAAGGAGGTGCGGAGGTGAAGGGGAAGAAGGAAGGAGGATTTTGATTTTATTTTTATTTTTTTCTTTTAGTTTCAAAATATTAAATATTTTCAATATTATTTTGTACACTTCAAATCTCAACAGAGATAAGTGGGTCCAAGTCATGCCACATCATTAAGTTTGTTTGAACGATGAAAAAATTGAGTTTTAAGAGCAAAGTGGCATAATTTTAATTTCATGGATAAAGTGAGACTGAAATAAAATTATAAGGGATGTGATAAAAAATAAGCTTATAAATAACTACAAATTTAGGGGAAAAAAAAAACTACAAATTTGAATTGCGTAACATTATTTTATTTTTTTTATGCAATTATATTGTACTTTAAGGTAGATTTGTGTCACCTATACAATATACTATTCATAATCATTATCAAACTCATCATTCATAATCGAACTCAATATCTATTTAGTTAGAATAGAGAGTCAAGTAGATTAAAAAGGGGGTGGTAAAAATACACTCTTTAAAGATCGACTTTACAAAAACCAACCAATTCAATTTCGTTTGATTTGTTTAATTTTCATTCATTGGATAACTGTTAAGTGACTGTACGATTTATATTTAATTAATTGTTTGTAATGAGTATTAATAAAGCTCATATATGATTTGAATCATTATGGCAGTGTTATACAATGATAACGAGAAAAGAAGAAGTTGAAGTAAAACGTCTAAGAGAAATGCTAATGAGACTCTCTCAAAATTGGAACTCTCCATAAATTTCTACCACTTCATGTTGTTGGCACAATGTTTATAATATTGTCATCAGAATTGACATTAAATTATGAAGTTACAGATAGTCCCACTTTGAGATAGTACACTTAGGATTTCTCAAAGCTCCAATAAAAAGTTGCTACAATTGCTTGAAATGAAAAATTGAGGAAATTGTAGCAATGATCCTTTAACTTTAACTGAATTGGAGTAATGATCCATCGACTAAAAATATGTGATCATTGGTCCCTTGACTCATCAAAACGTGCAGTTATAGTCATTTTCGTCCACTCTGTTAGAGCTTCCTTCAAAACGAGTCGTGCGCCACACATGTGAGGCTGAATCAAGGGGCAAATATGAAAGACCAAATGAGAAAAACTATAGCAACTGTCTTTCAACTTTAACCTAATTAATGCAATGATCCCTCATCTCTAGTCTAATTGTAGAAATAGCTCTTCCAATATGACTCATTTTAATTGAATTTTGATGGAATTAACGAAAAGAACTATAGTTGCACGTTTTGATGAGTTAAGAAATTAATAGTTGTGAATTTTTAGTTGATGAATTATTACTTTAATTAAGTTGAAATAAAAAGACTTTTTCTATAATTTCTCGTAAAAATGAAGTAGAAATTTTTTTATTTCCAAGGAGATGTCGAATAATAAAATGCAAGTGGGTTTTGTCACTGGAGGAAGAGGGGAGGGAGGAAGGAAGCAGGAAGGTAGTCGACCCAGACAGGACAGAAAAGATAGGTCCCAAGAAGGCCGGCGAATCCTGGTCAAACACCCACATCATTCCAAATCTAAAATTCCGGGAACGGCACCAAATAAAGTATAACAATAAAATCCAAGAAAATAATATAAAATACTATGAAATCCTAGCTAGGTACTTTTGAATAGGGTTTAGGCCGTAGGGGTGTTGGCGTTGGTAGGTGGGTGGAGATCCAAAGTGCCGAGACAAAAACCAGCCTCTGATCTGAGCCCAAAAAAGATTCCGAGCAGGCCTATGACCGCCTTCAACGTCCTCTGCGCCGCCCTGCCGTGGGAGGCGAGCTATGATGAGTTTTTATGAGACGTGACTGCCTAACTAAAGAGACGTGCAAACCAAAACCTCTCCTCCTCCTCCTTCACGCTACCACTTTCTTTCTCCCTAGTCTTCTCTACCACTGACTCCATAATTCCATATGCAAGCCCTCTGGACTAGAATTACAATTTAGGCTCTCGTTTCTTAGGCTTCTTGCTTGCACCATTTGGTTGTTAGAATTTTGTTATCGCACAAAAGTGTGACTAATACATTTTTATTTTTTGCCTAAAAAAAAGTTTAATGGGAGATTGGCTTATGCATGACATCTAACTGTTAGCTGATGTTATCGGTATGGATTTACGTAAGAATTTACAAATCTCATACAAGCGAGAATTGCTGACAACATGAATTAAACTTTGCTTGAGAATTAGACACAAACATGCTCTTACCAACTGAACTAACCCTCTTGACAAGTGTGACTAATACTTTGGTTGCCCTACATGTTAAAACTTTTTTCAC